TATATATATATATATATATATATATATTAGCATGTGTAATGGCCTTCTTACTCCTTTATATATGTATATATATATATTAGCATGTGTAATGGCCTTCTTACTCCTTTCCATGTATATATAAAGGGAAAGAGAAATATAGGAATATAGGATAAGCTCCTTATACACATTTTTCAAAAGAAAAATTAATAAAATGATTAATGCTCTCAAACACACATGCTATTATCAGTTATTGTGTATATTATGAAGATATTAAGCAACATGTGTGTTTAAGAAAGTAATATTATCTTAGCAGAAACCACTACCAATACTAATATGTTGACACTAAATAAAGGTTTAAGAAAGTCACGAATACTTTTCTCTTGGGTCCAAAATTCATGGGAAAATTCAATCAATGTGAAATAATCTATTCTGCCTGCTTTGGCTTAACAAGGACTAGTGCCAGACATTTAATAATCCAATAAGAATTGATATTTATTCATTCTTAAAATTGTAACATGTAAACAAGCACATATAAATCAATCAGATGGACAAAGTAAACAAGCCAAGTGCTAGACAATGATTAAAAAGGGTTTTGCCAATTTGACCAAATTTACCATTGCATGAGTTATGAAAAACTATCCATACTTAATCAAATGCAGAAGATATAAATAGGACAAATGTATGTATGTCTGTATATGTGAATCCACATGCATTTGAAAGGATATTTGAAGTTCTCAAATAGAATAGTAATTACTTCTTCATCAAGAGCAGACCACTTAATATTAAGTTCCTCTTCATCAGTTATGACCATTGGTTCTTTAAAAAGCTGACGAGCCTCCTGATATGGCCAACTATCTGGTATCTGGTACCTGAACCAATGCACTCACTATAAGTATTTCCAAGGATGAAAGACCAATATCATAAGATACGACAATAGGATATGTACATAGTAAGTTATTTTATTGTGGAAGAAAAAAAAACAAATATATCATTGACGATAGTAAACGGCTAATTTGGATTCAAACTACTTTAATTTTGACTATATGTAATCTTTTAAAACATTCACAAATTAATGAATATTTATGGGATCGAGACCCATAGGAACATATCATTTGCAAAGGATCAATTTGGCATATAATCGACTCCACATTCCATGTACTCACTCGCTAACACATTCATGTACACATAATTTTCCTTCCCCACCATGAAAGAAAAATGAAACCAAAATAATTCCACAAAAAATCTCTAAATCTCTATGTTTTTTTTTCTTCTGTTTTTTCGCCGAATCTTGAAACTATATGTTAAAGGGCCCAAGACTACTGGTTTCTTGCGTTTGAACTACAGAGAGTCACACCATGCCAAAATTTGTATATCCAAGTAAACTAAGCTTTCCATCAGTATTTTGGATCCAATCTTTGAGAACTGAATAAGATGAAGACCCAAGATTCAACTCCTATGGCCATGAAGAAAAGAAAGAAGGTTGAAAACCTAAGATAAGCATAATAACAAAAGTATATATCAAGTCATGTATTATTGTATAATTGATTATGTTAGGGAAAACAGAAGTAATTTCTCTAGCTAATTCTTCAACCGCTATCGGTCGATTTCCTTCACTCTCAAAATGTTCAAAAGCAGTTGATGCAATATCTTCCCACCTATCATGTGCCTCCAATTGATATGTGCTAATTGCAGCTGCACAAAATTCTTCAAAGTCCATCTTTCTGTAGGCAAGTGGCTCCATCTATACCAATCATTCAAGCAAGAAAACATAAGATATTTGGTCAAGAAGAGGAAATCACTAGTACAAAAGAGGTATTCCACATCGGATATTTTGAGCTTTTTACGTCAGAAAAAATACCGACGTAAATTTACGTCGGCCCTGTAAAACCGACGTAAATTTACGTCAGACATTACCAAAATCCGACGTAAAAAAGTAGTAAAAAAAAACATAAGAATGTCCGTTCTGCTTGGAGAACGGGCCGTTCTTCTTGGAGAACAAGTCGTTCTGCAAGCAGAACAGGCCCTTCTGCTTCGTAAAACAACCCAAAAGAAAAGGCCAACGACCTATACAAATAGAACAACCAAAAAATTGAATAGAACAGATAGCCACAATAGCAATGCGAAGCAAAAAAGTGTTAACGAAACCTTGATTCATACCTGATGAGCTGCAACAGTGTGCGAATGAGTAACAAAGAGTTCACCCCTCTGCAAAAGACAAAAAAATGATTCAGTAACAAAGGAGAGGGAGAGGGTTTACAGAGAAAAAAACGAAAAGTGATGAAGAGTGAATGCGCGCGGTGTGCCTCGCACTCACTTATTCAATTTTGCGTCCTTGTTTTACGTCGGACCTGGTAAGGTCCGACGTAAAATGTCAAATCTACGTCGGACACAACATACATCCGGCGTAGATTTTACTTTTTACGTTAGACCATACCAGTTCCGACGTAAAAAAGTTCACGAAAATTACAAAAATGCCACCGCGTCTTTTTTACATCAGATTTTCGTATTTCCGACGTTAAAGAGGTGACGTAATATACTAATTTTCCACTAGTGAATAGTATGAACTTCAGCACTTAATAGAAAAACAAACGTAACTCAAACCCAAAATCTAACAAGGAGGGAAAGTGGTCCAACATCAAGATTATATATACTTGATACCATACCCAAAAGTTAGCTCAAAGGAGGAGAATTGGTCAAGTTTAATAAAGAATATTCTAACTATGTTCCTCTGATACATGTACTTGATACAAAATAATTTTAATGCAGAAACATACCACCAGATCCACAAACATTTCTCATGTAAAACGAGTTTGCAATTAGCACTGATCAGTCAGAGACCCAGAACTAAGGTCAAATTTTCAAAGCAGTACATGTAGGAACTTAAAACAATGAAGCGAATGTAGTAGTAATCATCACTCTAATGTGCCATGTATATTTTCAACAGAAAATTTCCTGAAATGTTAGCAAGAATCCTGCCACTTAATACAAGTTTGGAAAATGCATAGCCAGGAAATTATCTAGAAAATATACTGGCATGTCAGGATTCCAACATGCCAAAGAAAATTTCTCAATACATAAGAATAATGCCTCACCGCATTTATAATATCAAGAACCCTTGACTCACTCAGAAGAGCAATGGCTTCCACCACCACCGACCTTCCCTTCATGAGCATGTCGTCGAAGAGGTTCTGGGCAGGGATGCCCATGCCGCTCGGGGCCTTAACGCAGACGTCCCAGAAGATCTTCTTGTGGTCGGAGACGACCTAGAGGAGGAGGGAGGGGAAGCCGTAGCAGCAGCGGTAGGTGTTGGGGTTAGGGCTGGAGCAGAGGTGGACGGGGGTGGTGTTGATGTCGCCGCACATGTTGGGGAGGGAGGTGAGTTCCTCGAAGGCCTAGGTGGTTTCCAGGAGGCGGCGCCACCCCACTAGGATCTTAATGAACTCTAGGTAGAGCTTGGTGGCGAGGAGGCGCGTGACCATGTTGGTGATTTTGGAGAGGAGGTAGGGTTCGAGGGAATAGCCGGAGGCTAGGGTTTTGGCGGAGAGGCCATGGGCGAGGCGCAAGAGGACCATGGCGACAGCGTAGTCGGAGGGGAGGGAGAGGTTGGAGAGGGCGATGTGTGTCGAGAGGGTTCAATCTTGTGAGTTGAAGAAGCTGCACTAGAGCCTGCAAGAGTGCCCACCAGAGTGTTGTGTCGAGAGGGTGAAGAGGCCGCGAAAATTTGGCTTCAGTTTTACATCGGTTAAATGCAAAACCCGATGTAGAATAATATTGTCATTCGATTTTTACATCGGCCAGAAATAGACCCGATGTAGAATGGTTTACATCTTCAATTTATTTACAAAACTGGCATCGCGTTTCTTATTTACATCGTTTGTAGAGGAACCAATGTAGATGTAATGACGTAAAACAGTAATTTTGTAGTAATGGGGCGAATACTGGGTCAATACTTCATACATTAATTATTAATCCATCAAGTAATCTTTGGCCTAATAAAGTAGCATTCTGAGCCTGGGCGTTGCATTCCTATCGGTAGATGTCACATTAAATTTTTTTAATTAAATTTATAAATATAAAAAAATTATATTTTAGACATATAAAAACATCTTAACAAATAATTTACTAAATAAAGTGTTACTGATTTGAATATAAATATATTATTATTCAAATTTGACATTATAATAATTGTGAACAAAAACATTATTTACTTTATCATGTATAATTCTACATTTCAATGTGAATATTTTACTTTAAAATCAATTTTATTTTGAATCGTGCTATTTTTTAAATATTTTAAAAATTAAAAAAATCCACGGCATTGCGGGGTAGAATACTAGTAGCTTAATAGTTAAGAATGGGAAGGTGAAGTTCACAGTCGCTATCACATGACAAAAAGAAAAGTTACGGAATCTCCAACACCGTAAAGCATGCATATAGAAAAGGAGATAGCAATGTTGAAATTCTCAAAGCTTTATGTCACAAATGCCTCCATATTGTCCTATTAAAAATAAATAGGTAAGGAGAGTGAGAAAATAGAGAGGGTAGCTAGCTAGCTAGTGTGAGACATGGAAAGGTTCAGCAACACTGGGCTCGGATTCTTGAACTTTTTGACACTCTTGGCATCAATACCCATCATTGGTGCTGGTCTATGGATGGCAAGGAGCAGCACAACTTGTGAAAATTTTTTCCAAACCCCACTTTTAGTGATAGGGTTTGTGGTGCTGGTGATTTCACTAGCAGGGTTCATAGGGGCATGCTTTCATGTGGCTTGGGCGTTGTGGGTGTACTTGGTGATCATGCTGTTCCTCATAGCAGCACTCTTTGGGTTTACAATATTTGGGTTTGTTGTGACTGGCCAGGGTGGGGGAGTGGAAGTGCCTGGTAGGGCTTATAAAGAGTATCGTCTCCAGCGTTATTCACCTTGGTTGAGGAATAGGATAAATGATCCTCAATATTGGAGCACTATTAGAAGCTGTATTTTTGGGTCTAGGACTTGTGCAAAGCTTGCATATTGGACCCCTCTTGATTTCATGCAGAGGGATATGTCTCCAATACAGGTATACTCAAATTTGTAATTAATTTGTTTCTCTGGGGGCATAAATTGTTATACACTATATGGATTTAAATGTTAGTTATATTATATATACTAGAGAATAAAATGAAAATGCAAAATAAATGGGTAGTAATACATATATATATATATATATATATATTTTTTTTTTTTAAGGTGATTAATTACATTTTTTTTTGTGGTTAGAGTTTTATTTTTTTTATAGTTGATGACATCCCCTTTTCAATTTTCTCTTTTTATTTGGTACAATCAGGATTTGCTGCTTTACCGTTTTAAATTCAGAGTAAATGATAATTTTCCATGTAAATTTCTATAAATAAGTTATGCATGTCTTCATGTGTTAGCCTTTTCATTATCCTTCATTTTAAACCTCTCAATTGCAATGGAAAACATCTTCTGAAATTTCACATATTATTATCATACTTACATATATATATATATATATATACACTATATGATTGTGTCACCAATTCACGTGCATTATAAATTAAAAAAGCTTACATTACCGATGTAAATCAGAAGTTTACTAGTTCAAATAATTTTATTATTTGATATATGACTAATGAGACTGCCATAAATCAATATTGATAACTTCATTGATATATAGTCAAAAGATATAACATTATTTCATATGCAAAGGGTGTATTCAGTAAAACTTGTCGATAACTAATAAGTTATTTTTTTGATATTCAGTTATTCAAAGAAAAATTTGTAGGTTCAGATTAATTTTAAATGTCTCGCAATAATTATTAGTCTACAAAAATACCTTATCCGAATTAAAATTATTTCTCCTCAAATCTTGAATGACTAGCTGGTATAGTTAAGAGGTGAGTATGCATGTCTCACTAGGTCTTCTTTATTTATTTTTAAAGATGCAATTTTTTTAACTCTTTTATATATATATATATA